TCTCACCAGTTCTCTCCACACTCACTTCCTTCCTCCCTCCCAAGATGCCCACTAACCTAACTTGGTTTTCAATAATCTCTTGCCAATGACCATTTTTATAATTTTATAATAAACAGCAGGAAGTATTTTGTTTTTCATTCTGTAATATACTGAATATATTCCATAACTTATTTTGTTCAGACCATGTCATTTTAGTTTAATTATAAATATATATATTTATATATTTATATTTATATATTTTGTTATAGCCATTGCATAATATTCTAACTTACAAATGCTCAACATTTTATCTGTGTATTGGCTTTATTTTTTTATTTTTTCCCAATTTTTTATTTTAAAAACAATACAGTACTCCCCTTTAGTAACAGGGGACACATTCCGTGAGCCCCCCCCCCAGATGCTTACAATCCAAAAATTTAATACCTTTTCTCCCTTATGTAAACACTCAGTGGCTGTAACTTATGCAATATGAGGTGCAGTTCATTCTTACCTTAAACCTTAGCAAATGCAACATACAATTTTTTCTGTCCTTAAGTTGAAACTGTTCACCTATTTGCATAAAGGAAACACTTAGGACTTCTTGCTGGGATAACCGAATTGCCAAAATGACTTGCATTTTGGAAACATTAAGTAAGAATTAATTGAACACGGAGTTACCACAATAGTAGATCAGAGAATGGACACAGCTGCTAAGTATCTAGCAGGCAAGTAGCCCACATAGCATGGATACCCTGGGTAAAGGACTGATTCATGTTCTGGGTGGGATAGAATTAGGCAACACAAGCTTTCCTTCTACTATTCAAAATAATGTGCAATTTAAATATAAGAATTGTGGGGCAGTCAAATAGCTCAGCAGATTAAAGCACCTGCTTAGGCAGACACAGTGGCTGGGGTTCATTCCCCGTTATGCTGTGCTGATTCTGCCCCCGGGGCCCACTGAGAAGGCAACTGAGACTGGGTGTGGTGGCGCACTCCTATAATCCCAACTCTTGGGAGGCTGAAGGCAGGCGGATCACTACAAGTCCTATCTACGTTGTGAGACCCTGTAGACCCTATAGGCCCTGTACTAAAATACAAAATGAGTAAATAAACTTAAGAATTGTTCATTTCCCTAATTTTTCATTTAATTATTTCAGACCATAGCTGACTACAAGTAACACAACACTGGCAAGCAAAACTGTGGACAAGGGGAGACAACTGTACTGCCACATTGTTGTGATTCCCACTAACTTGATGTTGGGGTATCTCTCTGGAGAGCGATAGGGTTACAGGGGTGGTGGTTGTGCATTTTTAGAGTGTGTTATAGGATGTTTCTTTGTTCTGGGCAACAATCTAAAATGTTGGTCTCTGACTAGAAGTCCTTTCTACAGGAGACTATTTTATACTGCCAGGCACCCTGTGTCTCTTGTCTGACCTGGGTCCAATTTATAGCTACAAAGGTGGCCATTCTTTAGGAAAGCCCTAAATTGGAAAAACACTGGGTTAGTGTTATCTGTGTTGATCATATGAGATGGAGGTAGCACAACAAAACACCAGAAATCACAAGAGCAGCGCTGTTATTTATAGATCCCAGAGAAGAGGTGGCAGCACAGCTTATGGGGTCTTAGGAGCAATGGAGTGGGGCAGCTCCCCTATTCCTCCCCTCATCCAGCCTGTGGTGAATCAAGAAGGCAGGGAATGAGGGAGGACTGTGAGCCCAATCAGTTATGGAGCCCAAGGGCTTATGAGGCAAGTTTTCACAGGGAGTCTAATGCTTGGGTTCTAGCAAGCCGGTAAGGCTCCCACAGCATCACACCATGAGTGCACGGTCACATGTTCATATGGGGTGGGACGGTGGTGGGGAGGGGTCAAGTGGGTTGTATCTAGAGGTTCAGTGAGGAAGTGGACAGGAGGTAGTAGTGTGAGGTGGGCAATTTGATCAACTTGAGAGACCGGCAGAAGACCAGGAACTGGAAACCACCAAGGGTCACTACCCCTGGCTTCTGGTCTGAGAAGGTGAATGTATATTCAAAATGGATACCAAGGCCACACAATATTACACAAATTTAGAATTATTGCTGAGGGCAACATTTAAATGATTATGAACACAATTGATACAGTCATAAATTTTTATCACACTGCATTCCAAAAAAGTGTCCAAGGAATGAAAACATGTTAACCTACAAATTATAATTAAGAATAGAAAAGCTGATGTCTGTAACCCAATTGAATACATAAATATTTACACTATAGAGGATACTATAAGGAATTTAGATATGATTGAAAGTATACAGGGACATGTACCTAGGTTATATGCAAATATGGTGCATTTTATGTAAGGGACTTGAGCATCCACCAATTTTGATTTCTATAGAGATCCATGAACCAAATTCCTCACTGTTACTGAGGAAGTAACAACTGTGCATTATGCCCAAGAACTTCCAAGCATACTTCTAGTGGGTTCTCTTCTTAAAACATCAAAACACTGATTTTCTTTAAAGGAGAAGATCTCGAAGATCCATGCAATATTTGTGGGGGAGGGTTTCCTAAGTGGGTTTTGAATAACCAGAATGCCTACTTCTAAAATGAAACAATTCTGAAATGATAGCAGCATGTAAAGAATTGGAGGGGGCTGCAGGTTAGCTCAGTTGCTTAGGTGCCTGCTCATGCAAATGCAGTCAGGCATAGGATACCACAGTTTGATTCCCCACCTCCACCTACCTGCCTTACCAGACCTGCCCTTAAGGAGCCTGAGCCAGCCAAAAAAAAAAAAAAATCATTTTTAAAGAACTTGGGCACTTGAGCCATCTAGAGAACTTTAGTTAAAACCAACACAACTATATTTTTTAGGGAAAAAAATTATGATTTGCTTTAGCAAAAAATGATAATCTATAAGACATGCTAGTATTTATATAAATAAAAATTATATACTTTGTGTAAAGCAATTGTATTGCAAAGGAAGGAAGTGTAAATTTCACTTTACATCCAAGGATCTTTGTGCATCTTTTCAAATACAAATGACACTCACCCTCAACCGACTCAGATTTTGACACCGTTGTGAGTGGTTTATGTGCTGCTGAACAATTGTGAACCACAAGAACAATTTTTGATGGGATTGTCTCTTTCATCTCACTCCCAAATGGAAGTAATGCCCTCTTCTTAAAACCTTTATGGATACTTACCCAGTAAGTCTTAATTAAGAGCATCTCCTATCATCAGTGTTCTTTTTCTATTTGCTGCAACGTCATCCTAACTAGACCGACTTGTTTTCATCTTTAACTCCTCTCAGGGTACACACACAGTCTTGCCCCTCGCAGTTTCCTGGCAGCACTTGCTGGGCTGCTCTCGGGAAGATGTTCCTTCTGGGTTATGGGTTTTTTTTCTATCCTAGAAAACCAAAAGCTCTCCTTTCTCCAATGAATTTTTAAAATTCTAAAACTAAGTTCATCTGAATGCTTCTCTCCAAGAGCTACTTGAAGATACTTCAATCATAAAGTATTAACTTTTGTTATCAGCCAAGCCACCCCGAGGTCTGAATTGCATATGGATCTAGGTCAAGTGTCTGCTACGGACACCATCACAGAAAATGAGTCATGGCGAAAGGAATGATTGTCCCGCCCCCAAATTGGGGGCAGCGCCTTTGCTTCACCTCTTCCTTCTTCAGTGGTGGACTATGATTTGTTCTGCACAAAATCATAATGCCCCTGAGGGATGAGCAAGACCGAGCACAAAAAGAAAGTTGCTGCTAGTTACCAGCTTGCAGAGAAAAACATTAAAGTACTTGGTGAAAGTAAAAAATTCAAACCCACTTTATAAGACAGATTTTTAAATCAGCTTGGACTTTTTTTCTAGTTCATCATGTAGATAAATTATAACTATTAAGATAGAACATATATTAGATATATACTCTAACAAAGCTTGTCTCTTACACTATTAAAATGGGTATGAGTGGTCATACCACTCTGAAAGTGCCTGATCTCATCTGAGTGGTCAATCATTCACTCAACAGATACTGCTTTTGTATGAATAATATGTTTTTCCTCCCTTTAGAAAATGACAATTGAGTTACAAAAGACAAGTGTGTTTACAGAGTAAAAAGGACACCTAACAATGGCATAAAAGATGCTATAAGGGAAAAAAAATTAGCAAAGACTGTAATTTGTTATTCCTAATATAATAATAGTCATAATCTTTAAATAGCTACCATTCATTAGGCATCATGTTAACTTTTATTGATGTGATAGATGCTATTCTTTTTCTTTTCTTTTCTTTTCTTTTTTTTTTTTTTTTTTTTTGGTGGGGGGCAGACAGACAGGATCCTACTTTGTAGTGCAGGTTGGCTTTGAATTCACTATGTAGCCAAGGCTGGCCTTGAACTCTCAGCAATCTTCTGCCTCAGCCTCCTAACTGCTAGGATTATAGGTATCATCTGTCTTTTATTGCTCTTTTATTAATACATGTTGGCTTTCTGTGACGCTCTTACTTATCTTAGGGAGCAGGCACATGTATTTAACGTATCTTGATTCTTTTTATCCCCCTTGCTCTCTTACCTTTCTCCTTCCTTCCTCTCTTGATCTCCCACCCCCATTTGCATTATTTTTTAATCCATCATTGTGATATATAATGATTACATTCACTGTATGTAGTTGGCACCTGTACATGACACGTCTTAAATCCTTTGTACCTCCTTCTTCTCCCCTCATGCCCCATCCTCACTCTTTTCGTTCCCTTCCCATTATCATGCCCATTTTATTCACCAGGAAACTGAGGACATAAAAATGGTGTAGCAATAAATCACAGAAACAAGATTCGCACCCACTTTATCTAATGAAGTTGTGAGCTCTTGCCACTGTACCATGTCAATTTCTAAATTTTAAGTACAGATAAGTCCATTTCCAAGGCAATTAAAATTTCAGTTTTGATGCAAGCAACATCTATTTTGTTTATTTCTGTTGTACTCTAAACTCATTTGGATTAGCCTTTAGGTTGTGTCAATAAGAATTTTGCTTCTCTATACATAGGGTTGTGACACCCAGATGATTTATGACATGTTGCTAAGATTGAAATCCGTTATCTATTTACCTGGTGACTTTGTCTGCAAAAAGGTGAGTAGACACTAGTTTCTTTTTCATAAGATATGAAGTTATGCATTCTAATGTAATTTCAATATACCTAAACAATTCTAATATTACATGGAAATAAGCCCCAAAAACTCAGATTCCTATGGAAGTCAATCTGAAAACAAAGGTATTGCTACTAAATTTTATCTAAATATTATATATATATATATGACATTAAGACTTTTAATATTACAGACTGTAGATTTATTGATATTGAGGTGGAATATTTTGAGGGGCATATTATCATTTAATGATGTAACCTTCGGCATTTCCTGCACTAGCAGTAAATTATCCTCACTTCCCACTCCAATGTTTTGCGAATAAAAGACAAACAGAATGGAAGTCATGATTTTGTACTAAAAGCAAAGTGATCATGGCCTTGGTTTCTCCACCAGAAGCTACACTTAGAAGAGGAAGAGAGGTAGGGGCCAGAGAGATAGATCAGTAGAATAAGTGCCTGCCTTGGGATGGGTGCAGGGTCTTGAGATCAATCCCCGGTACAAAAACAAAAGGAAAGAAAGAAAGAAAGAAAGAAAGAAAGAAAGAAAGAAAGAAAGAAAGAAAGAAGAAAGGAAAGAAGAAAGGAAGAAAGAAAGAAAGAAAGAAAGAAAGAAAGAAAGAAAGAAAGAAAGAAAGAAGAAAGAGGAAGAGGGGTGATGGAGAGGAGGTCACAAGGAGCAAAAGTAATGGATGCAACATGGTAAAGGTGATAACATGCCATGTACGCATGCCAGGTCCACATGACAGACATCACCACTATATACTGCAAACATGTACCAATCAGGGAAATTTTTAAAACAAAAATAGACACACAGTTCAAGATTCCATGTGCAACACCTTAAGTTACAGACCAAGAACTATCATTCTGACCCAGAGTCTCTCCCCCAGCCCCAGCTTTGGGATGACTTTGGCTTGGGCTCAGATAATACGGACAGCACAAGTGTTGCTCTGTAGGCCTCAGTGAGGGGGAGGAGGTTGGTGGGCAACCCTGAGACAGTGAGCCTTCACTCCCAGCTCCCAAATGAGGAGCCACCCACTCTCTGTCCCTTGACCCCATCCTATGTCAGGCAAGCAACCTGCCTCTTTTTCCTCACAGCTGTCTGGAAAGTTTCTATTCTCAGAAACCAGGAGCCCAGCCTGGCCCTGCATATGTGTCTATGGGATACCACAGTGGAGAGAAGCGGGAGCTCTGGAAGGCTCAATGTACAAGATGGATTCTGAGGTTCAAGCCTCATGGGCAGGCCAAGGCTGACTCACTGCTCTCTGTCCAGGGTGATGTGGCCCAGACCTAGAAGACTGTTCACATTTCTGAGGCTCCTGCCAAGGGCCAAGTACCCTGAACCACGATCCTAGGAAAAGGGGTGTTCATGGTCCCTAAGTGTTGGGAAGGGGGAGGGGGAGAATCATGGTAGGGTTGACTGGGTTGGCTTCTACTTAAAGATGTCTTGCTTATCCCAAGAAGCAGTCCAGGGGCTAGGTCTCACTTGGCCAGCTGCCCAGGTTCTTGGAGCAGTCCCCAAGAGGTAGAGAGCTGACCCAAGGAGAAGCAGGTATCTTCAGAGTCAGTTCCCATCTGAGAACTAAAGAGAATGGGCTAGCTGATGGTGATGTTGCTGGAGCCACCCATGAACACCCCAGTGATGCTCTACATCAGGGCAGTCATTTACTGCTCTTCCATTAGCAGACAGATCCTGCTGAAGGCAGGACCACACTCGGTCCTCACCATGCCAGTGGGATCTGTCTATAGTTGGTTGGATTCTAGGCAGAAAAGGCGGGCTACAAAGGCATAGTAAAGCAAAGCTGCTAAGCCAATGGCATCCAGGAGTCAGAGAGAGAAGGGAGCAGTCAGGCAAGCATACTCCCTTCCACACCAATACTATTTTCCAAACATGCAGCCAAAACAATTTAAATAATTCAGACATAGGTCAAGAGCATAGTTAAAACAAAATTGCTCCACAGTGTGCTCCATGGTATAGAAATAACTGTGTCTATAGCTCTGTGAAACAATAATGTATTCTTGATGTTCAAAATGAAACAAGACAATACTGATTTCATTTTATATATTATAAAAGTGTGGGTAGCTTGAAAATCTGTTTTGTATAAACGTAAATTACTTATCACCACACCCTATTAATTTGAAATATTTAAAGGGGGGGAATAACTTACATCAATGCTAAGTTGTTTACCCAATTTGTGTCCTTGAAAAGCTAACAGTTAGCTCCAGCTGCTCACACAGTTATTGGATAATGTCAATTGTTTTCAAAATTCACTGCAAATTTTTTATTAAAAAATAGTACATGTTCATGATTTTAAATATATAAAACATAACACAAGCACAAAAATTCTGCTGCCTAAAAATAACCACCATTCATATATTTTCATCAAGTATTTTATAAATAATAGATGACCCTTTTTTATGAAATGAGCCTCATACTCTACAAATGTTTTAAAACTTGTTTTTTCATGTAACAGTATATCCTAAGAACATTTGCATAGTATTAAGTCATCTACAACTTGGTTCTTTGAAGCTAAAAAATGTTATAGGCTATGGACAAATAATCAATTTCCAGATGGTTATTATACATAATTCTAAAGTGAATATCCCTCTGGATAAATACATGTTTGTGCACATCTGATCACTAACTTTAGAGGAAAAATAAGAAAATGACAACATTAGGTTTTATACCTTGAGAGATCAGCTAAATGGTGAAATAGATAATTAAAAGGAAAAAATAAAGGACAGTTCCAAAAATGGGAACGATGAGGTTTGATCTCTGGTACCACATGCCCCACTGGCCCTGACCCTAGGTGCACTGAGCCAGCCCCCGAGACTGGGCATGGTGGTGCACACCTGTAATCCCAGCATTGGGGAGGCTGAGACAGGAGGATCACTATGAGTCTGTGCTGTGTAGTGAGACCCTGTACAAAATACACAAAAAAATAAATAAATGGGAGAGAATCCAAGACCTTGTGAGTCCAAAAGTAAAGGAGAATGAGAAACACATCATTCCATTCCAAAATGATGTGCTAAATGCTATAGTGGCAGTAAGTATGATCTGTTCGGGACATGAAGCAAGGGCTCTGGTTCCTCCTAACTGCTGGCAAGATTCCCTAAAAATGTTCACACAAAGTACTGGAAAAACAATTGTACTGAAACAAGGGGAACAGGTATTGTGAGCAAAGAATCAACATGAGCTAAAACAGAGAGGGAGAATTGATGTCTGCCAAGGAAGTGCAGAGGACCACAATAAGACAAATGTTATAACAACTTTAGAATCATTATTAATAAAAGTCAAAATTGTTAGTGCTATAAAGTAGGCAATGCCCAGAGTCCTGAGAGAAAAAGAAGATGGTGTTGTTCTCTGGGACCTTCCAGTCCAGTCAGTGGTATTCAGCTCACACTGTACCTCAGAATCACCTGAGTGTAGGACTTTGGGCTCCATGTGTAGTTATTCAGCTGATCTGGATAGAGTCTACTTAAGTGCATGTTTTTAAGCTCCCCAATGATTCTAAAATGCAGACAAAGTTGAAAAGAAAAGCAATAAATAAATAAATGGAATGAAATAGATGCATAACTCCAAAACATGTGGCATTGTATGAGGACAAAATAAAAGTTACCAGGAGAGTATCAGTAGTAAAGGCACTCGATGTAATTTAGATTAGGGCTTGGGCAAAAGGGAAATTGCCAATTTGTCAGGTTTGACCTTTGTAAAATCTAAAGGAAAACATTTCTTCAGTAAAAGGGAAAAGAAAACAGAGAAAGAGTAGGTGAGACAGCTTTTTTGACAGAGTTGGAGCCCTCATCGAACAAGAAAGGCAGAGCTTGACATGTCAAAAGTATGAAAAGTGAGAGACATGGCCAATGGGGAGGGACAAAGTCAAATGGCGAGTGATGTCCTTCAAGGCATCAGTTGGAGATTCTAGGTTACTAGTGGGAAAGCCTTAAAAGAGAGGATGCAACTGAGGATAAATTTTGGAAGCTGGAATATAATGGAAGCTGAGTTCAGCAGGAGGTCAAGAAAAGGTAAGAGAAAGAAGGTCAAGGTTATGACCTTGAGAATACCAACAGTGATGAAAGAGGTCAACGAAGAAAAATTAGAGAGTTCCATATAAATGGCTATTACATATAATAAGCAGGCAATTTGTGAAATGAATCATTTTCTTTGAAATGAGAAATACAAAGCCCAGTGCAGCTTAAAGACCCCTTGGGCAGTCGTGCATTGGAAGGACATGCCTAATGCACCACGATGGCCTTGCACACGGCCCCACCAGTATCAGGGACTGCAAACTAAGATGACCTCTAGAAATTTTAGCATTTGACCCCTTAAGCAGTGCAAATTTCTTTAACAAAGTGTGAAATGAAGAGTAGAGATGCAGCTTTCTCATTTCTAACTCTTTATAATACCACATTCATCAAATAATAATAAAAATAGTTCAGTGAACACAAATGAAGGAAGGAATGGAGGACAGAGGGGGAAGAGCAGAAAGGAAAAGACACATCTTATTTCAGGAGATTTACATTCTAGGCGGTATAGACAGAGAAGAAAGGCTGCTACTTCACCAGATTTTACACAGCTCAGTTTAGCTTGGCCTTTACTTATCACTTCCAGCACTATAGGAAACGGAAGCAGGAAAAAAATATTGAGTTTGAGATTATCTTATTAATTGAAAAATGGCAGAGTCTGGGCCTGAGTTTGCTGAATTGCCTAATCCTCAAATATTTTTATTTATTTATTTATTCATTCATTTATTTGTTTGTTTATTTTTGTGGCCAGCTCAGTGAACCCTGGGGGCAGGACTGGTACTGCATGTGGTGCCAGGGATCAAACCTTAGTCCCTGTGTTTGCCTAAGCTTGCCTCAGCAGGTGCTTTAAGCCACTGAGCTATCTCATCAGCCCCTAAAAATATTTCTAAACCTCCTACACAGATAGCTTGGACTGCTTAAAGTTTACCTGGGAATTTTCCCAGAATGCTGTGTAACAGTGAAGAAATCACCTAGAGAGCTTGTTAAAGTACAGAGCTTCCAATTCAGCATTCCTGCGGTAGAGCCTGAGAATTTGTACCTCTAAACAAACTCTTGAGGGAGCCTGAAGACCCCGGAACCACGCTGTGAGCAGTGTGCTGTTCTCTAATGGAGTGTCAAATGCTCCCACCAGCCTCTGAAGTAGGCTCCTACACAGGGACCCTGAAATTTGATATTTATTCTCTAAGGGTCACCTCACGCTGCAAGAACCTATTACATTTCTACATTTTCTCCAAATGAGTACATGTGCCAGAAACAAGAGCTTGTTTCGATCCTATTTTGCACATGCTGTCAGCCCTTATTCTCTGATGAATGTCTACTTCACCGGAATGCTAATTAAACTTGTGGAAAAGGCCTAAATTAGCCTAGAAATATGCAAGAAATTGTGGAAGTTTTGGTTCGTTGATTATGCCAGACCTCCGTGAAAAATTATTGAAATGATCATTAAGAAATAATTAAAAGTGCTGAACTATATTTAAGTGCCCATTTTGTACTTCTCCCTCCAGTCAGTTGTAATAACTGCCTTCAAAAACTCATTCCAGTTTCTTGAGAAATATTTCATGCAAAAAATCAGGAGTATGACTCTTCCTAATCATTACTTCCTGGAATATCTCTCAGAAAACTAATTTCCAGATACTTTGCTTTTCAAAATCATTTATAGCTATTTCACTGATTTTTAGAGATCCAGTTCTGATGTCAGATTCATCACTACATACGGACTGTATGTGTTCTGGTGTCAGATAACAAAGGCACTGCCTATTCAAGGATGATCACATGTCAGTCTTTGTAATTTTGTTCAAGACGTTTAACTTCTGTAGCTCTTGTCACCAATTTTTAAATAACAATAATTGCACCTTTCCTATTTAACTTCACTGGGTATTTGAAGGAATTAAATGAGTTTATATCTATGATGGGCTTTCAACAATAAAGCAGTTGTGACTCACTAATTTCCTTTATCATGTAAGAGTTGACATGCTCTAAACTTAAATTTTCTTCCAAATTTAATTTATCTAGATGTAGTTTAACCTATCACATTATAGTATTTGTAATTTTTAATAATTTTCAGTGTCTCATTCAATTAAAAACCCCAAATTATTGTTTAAAAAAATAAAGCAGCACATTCTGACACAACAAATATAGACATCAAATAAGAAACTACACAAATATCAAGTGTTATGATTATTCAAGTACTATGCAAGAAAACATTATTTGAGTAACTATAACAAAATCAATCTAAGTTCTACTTTGATCTACACTTAAGTGTAAATATGCACTTAATATTTTTCAAAATATGAAATGTTTAAATTTCTTCCATTGCATTTAGGAGATGTAGGCTCTATGCTTCTTTTTATGTTTAAATACAAAGTCATAGAACCTTGGCTAGTCAGCTAAGCCAATTGAACCCCTTATTTTTCTTTCTGCAAAATGGAAATAATAGTACTAACTTACTCTATCTTCCTCAGGAAAGTGACAAGGTGATAAAATGATTAGTTCATTTTCCCAGATGTTATCTAAGAGACAGAGTCAGATACTTTAAACTTAATCCAACAATTACAATATACTTCATGGAGAAGGCCAGGGACATAACCCTAAGAATCACAAGACTCAAAAACTTCCTAGACTCAGTCAAGTTGTACTGTCCTTCTTCATAAGTGAATGCCTACTGTTCATCAAACCATGTCCTCAGAATTGGAACAAAATAGATACTGATTCAAGCATCTCAGAGTATAGTTTATAATCGATACTGCTTACCCTCAAGTTGATTTGATTTAGCCTTTTGAAAATATCATTAATGAAAATACTTGATTAACTCGAATAACCCAGTCTCTTCCTACAGCAAGTAAGTATTTTGGGGCCACCCAAATAGCTCAGCAGATTAAAGTGCCTGCAAGCAGGTGCAGGGGTCGGGGTTTCAATCCCCAGGCCTGCTGTGCTGGCCCCTCCCCCAGGGTGTGCTGAGATGGCAGTTGAGACTGGGCATGGTGGTACACGCCTATAATCCCAGCTCTTGGGAAGCTGTAAACAGGTGGATCCCTATGAGTCCCATCTAGTAGTGAGACCCTGAACACCCTGTAGACCCTTCCCTAAAATACAATAATAATAATAATAATAATAATAATAATAATAAAGTAAATTTTTGTAGCCATGTTATTTCAAGACACTTATCTTAGTGCATTTTCTGTTGCGATAACAGAATGCCCCAGACTGGATAGTTTATTAGCTCATGGCTCTATGCAGTGAAATTTCAGGAGCATGTCGCCAGTATCCTGGTGAGGACATTCTTGCTGGGTCATGACATGGCAAAGGGCATCATATGACAAGGAGAGACAGCAAGCTTTCCAGGCTTGTATAACAAAATCACTCTGGTGACAATCCAGAAAACTATGACCTGATCATCACCCAAGAGCCATTCCTAAATACCATTAATATGAATGGTAATGAATGAATTTGGAAATTAAATCCAACACATAAAACTTGAAGGACACATTCAGATCACAGTAACTGGCCAGTGTGATCAAGACTACTTATTTTTATATGTGGGAATTATCATTCAAATGGTTCTCATAGGATTATGCAAAGTTGCCTATTTACAATGTAACAACTTTTCTTAACCTGAATATCACTAAGGTCTCTTGCAAGAACTATTTATTCTTTTTAAAAGTTGGAGTAAGACAATGCATTCAAGAGCCCCCACAAACACCTGCCAATTTGGTAATTTGCTACAAGGACTCATTTGACTTAACTTAAAGTTAGATAGGATAGAGTTTATTAAAGCAAAAGAACAAAAATAATATAGATGACCAGATTAGAGAAATCAAGCACAAGCACCCTAGGCCCTACTACTGTGAGAGTCGTCACACAGATGCATCTTTCTCTCCAGTGGGTCACAGAGACACAAGCAGAAGACCTCTACTTCAAGAAGTCTATCTGAGTCTTGGTCCAGGATTAATGGGGAAGTCTCACACTACACGACTAGTCATAGCACAGACTTCAAGCTAGGCATGGGGTACATGTCAAGCGTCACGGTGCTTACATTGAACAATGCTGATAGCCTGGTATATCCTGACATACCACCTCAAAGCCTAGCAGCGAACACCACTCGCTGGCTATGCAAACCTTCCAGGAGCTGAATTCGCCATGCTTCATCAATGATCATTGTCCTAGCTCCCTAGAATCCCTAAAGATAAATGAGAACTGAGTAAAACAACCTGCTCTATTAATACTCTTGCAATATAGCATAAGAAAAATAGCTTAAAGGTCTTATATGGCCCCGTTCCCAAAATTATCTTTCAGTGCCTTAGGAAGAAAAATGGAACTGACTTCACTTGACCAGAGCTCACCCTATTTGGATAGAAAAAGCGCATTTTTGAGAGCATAGCATTGGTCACAAAGTCAGATTCAATCACCCAATTAATTCCTTCCTCTGCCCCTGACCATTCCTAGAGTAATGTGGCCAATGGAATATCTTCACATGTCCCATGCGGGCTTATCCTCTCGCATACTATGTCCAACCCATGGCTGTAACCACTGCAGGTCTTAAATACTTGTACACTAATGTTCCTTGCTTTCTTCATTTGCATTTACTCTTCTAGAGGAGTTCATATTTCTTAAATTGGGGCCTTATTTTCAAGAATAAAATGCCTACTGTTTCTTCTTTATATTTGGTATGCAGGGAGAAATTGGTAAAGAAATGTATATCATCAAGCAAGGAGAAGTTCAAATTCTTGAAGGCCCTGATAGTGACCAAGTCTTGGTTACTCTGAAAGCTGGGGCAGTGTTTGAAGAAATCAGGTAATGGAAGTATGCCTCATAAAAATGAAGTTTATCACTCGTCATAAGTGGACAATCTTTGGTTATAAAATGAGTAAGTTCCTACTTGACTATCAAAGGTTTAATTGTGCTGAATATTGGAAAAATAAGTATGTTCACATTTCTGTCTACCCTTTCCTTTCCCCTCCTTCAAAAGACCTGTAGAAAGGCCATTAAGCTCTTTTTTCCCAGGACATAGGTCAGTGTCTAGCATAACGTACATATTTAATATGTTTTGAATAAATATGTGAATGAATGGAATGGAAGACTATAAGTCTGTAAGACTTGAATGCCAAGCTAACAAGGAAGTTTTGAGTAGGTTTTAGACAATGATCATTGCTGCATAACTAAATTGCCTGAGTCTAAGCCTGTTAACCCCTTCCAAATTTTATTCCTCTGTTACTTCATCCCTCCAGGCCTTCATTTTAATTAGAATAATAATTGTACATATATTTGATAGGTGGAATATGTTTAGGATGACATGTCAATTTCACAGGCTTTGGAATCTATCCCGGGGGATATGTGGAGTACATTTCTGCTGTGGAGCTAATTGGGTCATAGTGGCATGGGACTAGGTAGGTTATAGCAGCATGGCCTTGGGTTTTATGTATGACTTCTTGCCCCTTCCTCTCTGGCACTATACTGCTGTTCTTCTTCCTGGCTGCCATGAATTGAGCACCTTTGCTACACCAAATATTTCCACATGATGTTTCTTCCTTGAAGCCAGTTGAATGTGAGATAAACAACCCAACCAGATTAAACCTCTCCTCTTTTAAGTTGTAGGTGTTGGGTATCTTGTCCTAGCAATGAGAAATCTAACACAGAAAATTGGTACCAAATAAGTGTGATCATTGGGGTTATGAATGTACCTTGCCATGTGGTTTAAAAGTCTTTGGACCAGTTTGTAGGAGACATTTGGAAAGGGTTGTAGATACAAGATAGAGAAGGCCTAGAATTCAGCAAACATGTCTTGATAAGTAATTCTATTTGGAGCTCAGAAGACCAAAATATTGATCATATTGTAGACAGTAAGTCCAAGCTGAGGAGGTTTTAGTTAGGAACAGCACCACATGAGCAGTTGAATTAGAAGCCATGTGTATTACACTTTAGCAGAAAATATATCTAATTTTGCCCATGTCCTTTTGCCAAGAATTTGCAGGAGATTTCCATTAATGGGAGTGGACTAATTAATCTGGCAAAGGAAATTTCAGGACAGTCCAACATTCATGCTACTTTATGGTTATTATATGATGTCTGATTATAGTCAGATTTGCAGGAAGAATTAGGAGCAAACCGCACAGCAGAAACTTTTGAAAATTTAAATTTTGGCCCTGAAGCAACCACATATAAAGTTTAGGCCAAAAGAAGTGTAGGTACTGAAGAAATTAACACCATTAAAAAGAAAACAATTGTGTTGTACTGAGATAAAAAGAAAACTATCTCGAGATGTCTCAGAAATTAGCAAGACTCCATCTATCATTAGCTTAAGAATGCAAAAGTTGAGAAGAGAGTCCATGAGACCCTCCTTGTGAAGAGTATTCTGAGGAATTGGATCCTTAAGATTAATTTTAGTGAGTTCAGTCATCCAGCCATACAGAGGTTGCTGCAGCCATGGTCCAACAGGACCTTGTTACTGCTTCTACTCACAACAGATCTTGGAATTATCTACATGATGCTTGTTTTAAGAGCATGTGAAATGAAGTGGTTATGGGATCAGGAAAATTCCCAACCACATTACAGAGGAAGGTCTGAGAGGTAAGGCAAAGAGTCCCTTAGAGGGCAGACAATGAAGATGTGAGAATGAAGCCAAAGATACAGTTATGACCCCAGAAGTCAGAGATGTCAGGAACATGGAATGTCGACTGAGGAAAGCTGCAGGCTGAAGGTAGAGTTAACCGAAGAGAGAGGCCATGTAAGCTGAACTAGCAAGTCCAGGGAGTTGGGTCTGCACACAGCTTCTGAAACTTACATTTTATCACCATGTGCCTCCAGATATGGAGCCGGAGGACTCAGTTTTTGACCCTTTGCATTTAAATCTTTCTTTAGTGTGATTCTTTCCTATCCTATTTCTCCCTTTTAAAATTGGAACGTGTACCCTGTGCCACTGTACCTTTGGATTGTGTAACTTGTTTTTTATTTTTAAGAAGTTCACAGCTAAGAGTTTTCCTTGGGTCTCAGAAGAGATATGGACTTTGATTTTAACAAAATGCTGGAACTCTTGACACTTTAGGGACTGATATTTCTGGCTGTATTCAGGATAGTTGTGTTAGGCAGACTCATGAATTTGTCTTTATTTGGAGATTAAGTATGATTTCAGATGTGTTTGGGTAGTGTAGTGGGTTGATTAATGGTCAATTTGTAACACCCAGCTGAAAGGAATCAGTGTGGTTCTGGGCGTGGAAGGCCCACCTGAGGATTGTTACCAACAGAATAAAGAGAAGAACTGGAGGGGAAGATTGTGTGACGTAGGGGAACTCTGATTCTCCTGGAGAAGCTTGTCACACTGGCTTTCCTGATAGGAACTTGGCTGTTCTTTTTGGAGGAGCTCAAGTCTTGTTGCTGCTGCTGAGGAAGGCTACAGTTCTCTTGGAGGGAACTGGGCGCCTTACTTTGAGCATTGCTTCTTGGCCCCAGTGAAGATCCCTCAGACTGCTGGTACAGATCCTTCATCCCAATGGCACAGATATTCTAGTGTCTACCATTGACCTGTGGGCCTTGCCAGTGTAGATCCTTGGTAAAGACTTGCATGAGGCATTGTTGTAGGATCTAGGATTCAAAATGGTCTCATGAAGGTGGAAGACATTGCCAAGGGCTCTGGGTCTTCAGCCAGAATTATGCAACACATTGTTGTGGCATCCAGACCTTCACCTAGATTCTTTGAGTCTCTAATGTGTGGACAGATTTCCTGTACTCTTTTGCATTTGACTCTTTACATGGCTATTAAAAAATAATCTGGTAAATTATGTATCTTGTACTAAATCTTTCTTTTGTAAACCCTGACTACAATGGGTAGCAAATTAACAAGGGGATGTGGTTTGTAGGATGGAGTGCCAATTTGATTAGCTATGGGATCCACCCAGAGGATTAACTGAAGACACTTCTTGGGTGTCTGTATGGATCATGGAGGCATGACCTTCATTATATGTCTGGTCCTGTGCCCTTTCCTGTCTGGCACTGATACATGACTCCATTTCCCACTTAAGCTGAGCATATGTTCTCTGCAATGTCCTTCTGCCATGGTACTTCTTCCTGGGAGCCAGATAATCATGGACTGCATGTGTCTAAACTGTGAGTTAAATTAAACCTCTCCTCCTTTAAATTATAGGTGTTAGGTATTATATTTCCATGATTGGAAATCTGACTAATATAGTTAAGATTAGGATATTAATTTGACAGTTAATTCACTAAAAGTGCTTAGACTACTGCCGAGCATCTCTTAAAGCTCCATAAATATTAATGATTGTTACCATTTTTCCATAGGTTGGGAAAATTTTAACCTAGAACAAGTCTCAAGAGCAAGAATATAGAGAGTAAATTTAAATGTTTTGCAAGTGAAACCCTTCCATATCTAGTTCTGTATTTAAAGTTATTAATTATTCATCAAAAACATACTTTTGGATGAATGGAGTATGCTAGATTATAAAATACTGCTCTAAGCTCTAGGAATACATATAAAAATAGTGGACAAAAATATTATCCCTTACAAATCTTACAGTCCAGTGCAGAAAACTGGAAATAAATAGTTGAACAATTAGCTAGATAATAAAAAAATTCCCATCCTGATAATTTCCATGAAAACAAAAACTTATTAGAAAATGATAGAGAACAGTACTTTAGATATGTAGTTAGGAATGACCTCTCCAAACATGATATTTGACCTGAAGCTTGAAAAAGCAGAAGAACCATTCAGAAATGGGAAAGAACCACTCAGATGGTAAAACAGCAATGGCCTAGATGTAAAACCAGCTTGTTCAGTCAAGGGACAGACAAGTCGAGTTGGCAGGTGGGAACGCAGTGAGTAGGAACAACAAAGTATTGAGCACAGGCCACATCATGTGAGTCTTTTAGGCCATCGGGGGAAATCTTTATAGCAAATTCAAATGAATGCACCAGGATTTTCAGGAAAAGAATTGACACAATCTAGATTATGATTTTAAAAGATCACTCCAGTTGTATGGAAAAGGGATGGAAATGGGGCAAAAATGAAACAAAGGAGACAAGACACAGTGTCCCAGTTAAATGATAATTGAGAAAATTGCTGTCCCACATTGCCAAGTATTTTGCCTGAGGTAGGAGAGCTCATTAGTGACAAGGAGAACACTCAAACTTGAGCCTTCATGAGACAGTGTCTCCGGCTCTTTCTACCATACTGAAGAGGAAAGGCGTATGCTGAATCCCTGACTTCACAGCTGCTCCAAACTTTTCTTTAAATTCCACAGACATGGGTAAGTTCAGATGTCTTCATGGCAACATACTACAGGCTTCCTTGGAACGTCAAGGCACGTTATTTTTCTGATGTTTATATGCTTTCCTTTTTAAAATTATCTCCTGATTTCATGACAGGATGGGCACTCCTGTGAGAGTTCTGCTCTTGAGCAGTGGTGGAAGCTCTTCTCAGAATGTGAGGCCATGAGCTATTTGCTTATTTCTATGACTTCTTTAGTGGGAGTCTTTGCAAAGGTAATTTCATGTCTCTGTGACTTAATAATCACTATTATCTTCAAGGTCATAAAACATGCAATGGTCTAATCTGAAACATTGCCAAAATTAATTAGCTGACCTCTCCCAAAGATTGACTATTCCCTAAAGAATAAAGCTTTATAAATAAAGTATATTAATGGTTGACATTATCATCACAGGAGGAAATACTCTTAGGAATAGAATCTAGGTGCTGCTGAATTGGAACTGAAAGAAATCATAGATTCCTGATGGCAGTTTCTCAAATAATCCTCCTCCTGCCCATTTGGTATCCAAAGCCAAAT